CTGTCAGAAACAGCTCTGTATGGCTTGTAGAGTTTTACACTTTTGCCTAGTGCTTTGGGTTGGGTGTGTTTTCCTGTGCAGGGTGACTTCTTGCTTTAGTAGTGTGGTTTCCTTTTTTTTTCTTTCTATTTCCTGTGGTGGTGGTGTGTTTTTGTTGGTTGGTTGGATTTGTGTCCTCTGACAAGCAGAAGTTTCCTAGTTGTGTGACTCCCTACTTGGAACTGATCAGCATGGGGCTACCAGAAATTTCTCTAGGGACCTCTTGCTAATGCTTGATGCTGTGCACTACCCCAAGGCTTTATCAGCGTGCACCTCAGTCAGGACATGTGTGTTCAGGTAACGTTAACTGCTGTGTTAAATGCCTTTTACTATCTTGTATAAAGTGTGCAACACTGATGGTTTCTAGGTGGGCAGCTGACCTGTAGGAAGGCAGGTTCTGCACTCAGAAGAGGCAGATTATGAATCCACAAGTCACAAGGGTCCGCATGTTGGTGTTTCTGTCTCCTAGAATTGTACCAGCTAACTCTGACCTTTTTCCTCATAGGTTGTTGGGGGTTTTGCTATAGTTGTGTGGATTAGGGATGTCTTTGGGAGGGTCTCAAACTGACACAAATATATAAGCTGAAGTACAGAAGCAGACAGATGGATGTTAAAAATTATTTTTCAATACAGAATGCAATTGGAGTATTAGGTGTTTGCTCCACTTCCTTCCTTCCTTATAAATCTTATCATGGAGGAACTAAATGAACAGAAAGATTAGCAGAAGAACCATTGGGCTTAAGCTACTGTCACCGTTGGGTGAGGGCTGCCAGCAAGACATCTGAAGTACAGATGAACCACCAAAACTCAGTCACGAGGGAAATTAATCTGATTTGATCCTTCTCTGGTGCATCTCTTCAATCCTTTCCCTTTCTTACACACTCCTCAAACAAATAGTAGTACAACAAAGCCATAGTAATTGGTTTCTTTGTCTGAAATGACAGCATGGCTAAGTTAGTATTGCTGTAGGAATGTTGTATTTAGTATTGATGATGCTATAGATCTGGTACAGTAAGTTTGTGGGGAACTTCTTTGTTTGTATGAATTATATAACAGGCTTTTAGTGCATTTGAAACAGTGTGACAGCAGATCAGGGCTTTGTTTATGCAATATTCTTTATCATTTCAGTAAACCAAAAGGCAAGCATATACAAACTTGAACCCAGACTGTAAGTTTCAAAGGGAGAAAATACCAGCCTAGTACTACTTCTTCCCCCAAGCAGAAGTTCTGTTTCACAAGAAGGTTTGGAAGAGGTGCTGCATACCAGTGCAGTTTATGCATTCCACTAGCTAATTAAGATTTTGGATTTCATTTTCTGAAAGGGCAGTATTGTCTCCCTTAGGTTACGTATGAGAAATCCTTATAAAGTCTGCTGACAGTAACTGCATATAAAGATGGGACAGTTCAGTTACTGCTGTTAAAAGTTGCACATGGAGTAGGAGGAGTGAAAAGCGTGGTTTTCCACCCTGCTGCTGGTTGGGGCTAACCAGGGAGACGGATGGGTGTATAGAAGAAGGGATGTGGAAGTTACGCCTCCTTGTCTTCAGTGTTCATTGCTGCTTGGATGGTAAGAGGACAACTTCTCCCGTACACAGTGAAGACAAGAGTATTCATGTTTATTTGACTGTGGTGTAGTAGAAAATGTCTCTTTTTCCTGTTCCACATCTTTGGCAAACATGCATAGGTAGAAGCAGTGGGGTTTTCTTGTAGGAGATTGAGGCACTCCACTGCTTTTCAGCCTGCTTAAAAAGGGCTCTAGAAAATCTCATGTCCTCATGTGTATTGTGTATGGGGATGTTTTAGCTTCCAAAATGAAAGCTGTTTTAATTTCCTAGAGAAATAAAGCAGTTTCAAAGATCCCTCATATGCATAAGGTTTAGTTGGTCCAACTTGCCTTGTTTTACTCCCTCTTGTTTCTCTTGGTGCTTCCTAGCCAGCTGTGAGGTGCCAGCTTATTTTCCTGGAATAATACTGCCTCTTCAGGGTCGTGGGTTATCCTCTCGCACTCCTCTGTATTTAGCAATCTGAGCCAGTTACTGGCAAGAGAAACATATGCTAGGGACCAAAGAATGAGAGGAGGGGTGAGAAAGGGCATAGTAAGATATGTTTCCCAATTATACAATAATTATTCCCAGTAACTAACTGTAGTAGATAATGAGGGAAGTATCTATGATGGCAGATAGCTTTAGACTATGCAAAAACCAGCCTGTGGAGCTCAGTTGTCACTGATGGGGTCCCCTGAATACTGTGGAAGTACTTGCATTAATACCTTCAAGACCCCTTTTGGGGTTTGTGCTGGCTAATAGTAAGAAATGGTCCAAAATTGCTTCTGTTCTCATTCTTCCCCACAGACCTGCCGCTGCCGCCTCCTCCACCACCTGGAGAGGAAGCAAGTTTCTCCTCAAACTGTGCTTTTCCCCCACCTCCACCCCCCTTTGAAGAGCCTTTTCCACCAGCCCCAGAAGAGGTTTTCCCTTTGCCGCCACCGCCGCCAATGTTTGATGAAGGGCCTGTGAGCAAGGGACCTGCCCCACAGGTGAGTGTGGTCAAGGGAAGTGTGGTTTCCTGTAATGCTTTGTGAGCTGGGACAGCTTCTCACTACTCTCTGAACTCGGCAGCAGAAGCCCTGAGATCTGGGAAAGCAGCAAATGCTATCACCTTATGGACCAGCATAGGTTAGGGTCGACTGGCCAGGCTACAGCTCTCTGCAGATGAAGGACCTGGTTCTCCTGATGGACAGTGAGTTGAGTGTGAGCCAGCAATGCACCCTTGTGGCTATAAAGGCCAACCACAAGTGCTGGGCTGCAGTTATGAGAGTGCAGGACAAGGACAGCGATGATTCCTCTCTTTGGTTCTAGTGAGGCTACGTCTTGGAAAACTTTCCAGTTGAGCTCGCAGTGTAATAACCCAGAGGAATACTGAACTAGATGAGAGAGCTGAATGATGAGAGAGCTGGGTTTGTTCAGCCTGCAGAAGAGGAGGCCAAGGCAGGGATGTAACTGCAGTCTGCTATACCTAAAGGAGGGCTGGAGAGAAGACAGATTCTTCTTACTGGGGCCCAAGAAGAGACAATGGACACGAGCTGTGGCAAGGGAAATTTCTTTTGGACAGAAGAAAACGCTGTTCCACTCCAAGGGTGGCTTAACCCTGGCACAGGTGCCTGGAAAGGCTGGGGAATCTGCATCCTTGGGGACGTTCAGAAATCACCTGGACAAAGCCCTGAGCAACCTGATCTAGCTTGTTAGCTAGAGTTAGCCCTGCTGTGAGCAGGGTGTTGGATGAGAGACCTGCAGATGACTTTTTCCCACCTAAATCTGTCTGTGAGTTTCTTTGGGCTGTGCATTTTCCCACTGTTTGTAGACCTTGGAGACTGTGCCCTGTTCATCCACACCAACTTGCTCTCCATTCAAAGCAAGGAGCAGTTCTGCACCACAGTCCGCAGCACACAAATCTGCTCTTGTAAGGGGGTACGCCTGGTTCTCTGGCTGTTAATGTAACGTGCTCTGCTCCCTCTTTCCTCATGGATGGTGGTATAGGAACGTGGCAAGATGAACAGCATTGATCTTGAGATTGACTCGCTGTCCGTAATGTTGGATGACATGGAGAAGAATGACCCCTTCAGATCCCGGGTGAGCTCTCCAGAATGTTGGAAGTGGAAGGAGAGATGACTGATTTGCTGAACGGAGGTAGTGAAGATTAAAATGTCTGGATAAACCATAGTGCAAAACTGTCTGTGAAGGACCAGAAAGCACCAATCTCACAGCTTGTCAGGACTGCTAAATATGTAACAGTGTGGAAACTCTTGACATTGTGGCTCTGGGGTAGCTGCTGACACTGCTGTAGACAGTGTATTTTCTCTTCCACTTTGCTGACAGCTGCCTGTTTGCTGCTTCCCTTTACAGATATCTCCAGGATCCACAGGTTCTCTGGAGAAACCATCAGCCCCGAAAGCCCGTGTGGAAATACCATCTGCATCCAGAGATACTCCTCATTCCTTTCCTTCCAAGTTCACTCCAAAGCCAAGTGGAACCTTATCTTTCAAACCCCCTGGAGCAGATTCGACCCCAGCCCCCTGGGCAGCCCCACAGCAACACAAGGAGCCCCCAGCACCAGTCCCTCCACCACTCTCTCTCCCTCCCACTCAGCCTACCCCTGCATTCACCCCACCTAAGCTGGTTGCTGGCTCTCCTAAGTCTGGGTCCAAATCAGGTGTCAGTGTGCCCATGGCTGCCTCTAACCCTGCGAGATACCCTACCTCCCTTCAGACTCAGTTCACAGCCCCTTCACCTTCAGGTCCCTCCTCTCGGCCACAGCCTCCCAATTTCACCTATGCCCAGCAGAGGGAAAGACCCCAGGTGCAGGAGAAGCCACGTCCAACAGAACAACCTGCTGCTGCAAAAGACACGGTAGGGGATAGAGCCATGGGATCAGTGCCTTTGGGCGGGCATCACTGGGAGTGAAGTTGGAAGATGAAGAGGGAGGGTCCATCCCAGGCTAGAGGAGGCTGTTACCCTTCTGAAACAGAGCTGTAGCTAGAGATGGTTGTGGAAAGGGATGGGGCTTCATGAAAAGGTAGAAAGAAGGAAGCAGAGTTGGTGAAAGGTTGTTTTCTAGAGAGAAACAGGGAAACAAGGTAAGATAAGTAGGTTTATTAAGGACAGGGTGGGAAGGAGTCTGTGTAGGCATAAAGAAATTAAAACACCAGTTCCCTTCCATTGGTATCAGAGCACTGAGGTGAAGGGGGGTGTGTGTGTGTGTGTGTACACATCCTAGCCTCCAACCAGAAGAGAGAGTTAAAGTATTTACCTCCCAGCTGCAGTATTTCCCTCTTGCTGCAGTATTCATGACCCAGTGCAACTCAGACTAAAACAAACTAGAGGTGCCTCTGTTCGTAGAAGAGAGCTGAGCTGGGGACCAGCTGTACAAACTGTCCATAAAATAGCTCTGTTGTAAAGTGCTTGGAAGTCCTGGCACACAGCTTGGTGAATGTGAGTCAGCAGAGCACCTTTGAGGCATTGAAGACAAACCATGTCCTGGACTGCAGCAGGTCAAGGGATGCGATTCTTGCACTCTTTTCAGCACTTGTTACTGCATCCAGTTTTGGCCCCCCCACATTTCAAGAGAGACTGAAAAGCTGGATAGGGTCCAGCAAAGGGTTAGAGACGTTTTAACAGGGCCTGTTGCAACAGGACGAAGGGCAATGGTTTTAAACTGAAAGAGGGGAGACTCGGGATGTTTTTTACAATGAGGGTGTTAAAACGCTGGCACAGGTTGTTGCTGAGAGAGGTGGTGGATGCCCCATCCCTGGAGACATTCAGGGCCAGGCTGAATGTGGTTCTGGGCAACCTGACCTAGTTGGGGATGTCCCTGCTTGTTGCAGAGGGGTTGGACTAGAGGAGCTTTGAAGGTCCCTTCCAACCCAAGCTATTCTGTGATTCTGTATGTGTCCTCAGGGATTGAATGTTTCCTCTTCCTGCAGCATAGACCCGCAGGCTCCAGTGCAGATCCACCTAGAGGAAATTCCTGTCTGACTATGAAGGAGGTAGAAGAGCTGGAGATGTTGACCCAGAAACTAATGAAGGATATGGAGCATCCGCCCCCAGTAGAGGCCGCTACTTCTGGTGCGTTCACTCAGCTGACAGCAGTAGGGGGCAGAGGGCTGTGAGGGGTTTTCATCTAATCCCTTTCTCCTTCCATCAGCAGAGCTCTGTGGCTTCTGCCGGAAGCCTCTGTCACGAACCCAGCCGGCCGTGAGGGCCCTCGACTGCCTCTTCCATGTGGAATGCTTCACCTGCTTCAAATGCGAGAAGCAGCTGCAGGGGCAGCAGTTCTACAATGTGGATGAGAAGCCCTTCTGCGAGGACTGCTATGCTGTGAGTTACTGGGGTGAACGCTGCTGGAGAGAGCTGAGCTTGCTGTGGTGTTGCTCTCTCTTGCTTTCCCTTCCTCCTTCCTATGTCTGTGGCATAGCCTCCTGGGCTGGGGGACTGGATTCATGTGTCTTCCTTTTTCCCTCTGGGCTCAGGGGACCTTGGAAAAGTGTAGTGTCTGCAAACAGACCATCACAGACCGGATGCTGAAGGCCACTGGTAACTCATACCATCCCCAGTGCTTTACCTGCGTGATGTGCCATACCCCTCTTGAAGGAGCTGCTTTTATTGTGGACCAGGCCAACCAGCCTCACTGTGTGGATGACTACCACAGGTATGGAGAGAGTATGTGTATGTGGTGTCTGAAAGAAGGCACATTCCCTCACAGCTGTTTAATTTTGCTGCAGAATGGGGTTGGGTTGCCCATACGAGCAACAGGCATTAAGTTAAAAATGAGTCCGTGATGTACCTTGTAGCAATTAGGTCTTTTCCCACTTAAACTTCTTTGTGATTTATTACTCCTCTGCTGCTAATAGTGTTGTATGGCAGTGAGAAATGTTCATTGTCTGTCACCACGGTGGCCGTGATCTCCTCCATATTTCTGTGTGTTGCAGGAAGTATGCTCCACGCTGCTCAGTCTGTAGTGAGCCCATCATGCCAGAGCCTGGAAAGGATGAGACAGTGCGTGTTGTGGCATTGGAGAAGAATTTCCACATGAAATGTTACAAATGTGAGGTAAGCCTGGTGGCCCCACTCCTCCCATGCTCATCACCAGCAACTGGACCTCTTTGTCATCTATCCTGACTAAACACTAAGGTTGTTTTGAATTAATTTGGAGCATTTTTGAAGCAGGTTCAGAAAAAGTTTAAGACATTCACTGACTACAGGTCCATGAAGAAGGATTATGCAGGGTTGTAGTCTCTCACATCCTTAACACAGCAGCTGTGTATACAGTGGGAACATGCTGGGATCACAGAAGGGGTTTGCTCTTCCCTCAAAATAGTATCTTCTATTAGCACCACCAGAGAGAGAGCAGTGGGCAGTGAGCCATTATCCTGACCCAGTGGGGGATTTCTTGCATCCTTGAATGCATTTATCCTGCTGTTGGCTATCATTGAGCTTTCTCCCTCTTTTCTTTCCCTGTTTAGGACTGTGGGAAGCCCTTGTCCATTGAAGCAGACGAGAATGGGTGCTTTCCACTGGATGGGCACGTGCTGTGTATTAAATGTCACACCGTTCGTGCCAAAACATCACGCTGAGGAGCTTGTAGTGGGCATTCCCTTGAGACCCCTGCAGTCAATACTCTTCCCCTCCCTGCATTGTCCTATCCCTCTGCCTGAGAAGGCAGATTGCTACCAATGGAGACTATGCCAGCACAGCTCTTTACTTATGTAGGATTCACTGCTCCTAGACTTCTCTCTGCACACCCGCCAGGAAGGGACCTCTCCTCCTGTTGGCACATCCTGGCCACTGTTAATTCCAGGCTGGGGGCTGTGATGGTGAGTGCACAGCCTCTGTTCCCTCAAGACTGGAGGAGAAAGACCAGACCTCCACCACCACTGGCTGGTGGAAGTGGCAAGAATGACCTGATGGCAGGTGCTGGGAGGGGCTGAGCATCGTTCTGTCCCATGGATCCAAGAATGGCCATTGGACCTTAGAAGGTGGAAGCCTCCATCTTGGTACCACTTCTGTCTTTATTTGGTTTTCCCTCTTGTTCTTCCTTTCATGATGAGGAAGTCTTGCCCTACCCCATCCCTCGTTCCTGGGTTAGGGTGTGGAGGCAGAACATACTTGGAATCCCTGTTATTGTTGCTGTGAAAAGCTAACCTAGTACAGCTTTTCTGTCTCTCATGGATTTTACTGGCTGTCTTGTTACTTTTGATTTCCCCCTTAGCCAGATTAAACTGGCAGCATTTGGAATCCTGCCCTATTCCCGAGTTTGGAAAGTTGTTTTTCAGTCTTTCTCCCTCCCCAGAATGAGTCACTTCCCAGTGTGTTTTCTGGGCAGCCAGGCTGGGCACCAGCATAGCAAAGTGGTCCAAAGAAAGCATGTTTACAAATACAGACCGTCACAAGGACGGGCAGCACACGGTGAGGAGGTGTCTCAGTGTGTGGAAGAGGATTCAGCAGACTAAGGAATGTCTCCCTGTTCCAGTAGGAATTCTTTCACCGCTATTGGTGAAAGCTGTGGTGTAATAGCAATGTACTGTCTGGCTCTAAGTGTTGCTGCACTGAGCCCCATTTCCTGGACTAGAAACTCTCAAACCAAACAAAGCTTTTGAATAGCTACACTGTGCCAACCACTGTTTGCATTCAATAAAATGTAGGGTTTTTTCCATGATTGTGTCTGCTGTATTTGTTCGACAACCCATGAGAATTGCTGTCTTAGGCAGTAGAGAATGTACAGTTGCTATTCCACTGGGCCTCCAGAGATGAGTAGCCTGAAAATGGCTTTTCTCTCTGCACCAGTTGGTCTCCTTTTCAAACTGTTGAGTTTCCTACTTCCCTCTGCCTGAAGAGTAGCTCTCATTTAAAGCAGTGGAAGATTGCTTTTCAGTGTAGTAAGATTGTAGTCTGCTTGATGCGTCACTAGGAGGTGAGTTATTACAATCCACTTGCATCACACTGGAATAAAGTGGCCAATTTGCTTGCCTTGCCTTAACTGTTGCTACTCAAAGTGTTTGTGCTTGTTCATGGTTTTAAGCATGGTACTGTCTTGGTCACTGCAGGTGAAACTCCTCTTTGTGGTAAGCATCAATGTTTTTACACTTCAAAGACATGAAACCTGCTCTTGTTCTCTTGCCAGTTTTGGGGGAAATCTGGAACGACTCCTTGCAAATTGATCCAGTAAATGCTTTGAGGTTTCCTATAGAATGAGCAAAGAATAAACAAATTGTGTATTTGCTTTCTTTTTCTTACCTGAGTTCTTGCTGGCATTGTCTTGAGCGGTTGTTTCTAGATTATGTGATTAAACTGAACTCTAACCCAGTTCCTCCCCAAGCTATCAGAGGACTATAGCCCAGGTGTATGGATATGAACCTGTCAGTGTCAACTGGAGGGGTTCTCCAGGTCACTTTGCAGATTAAGGGGGAGGTTAGTCCCTCTGAGGGGCATGGAACGCAGGGGAACAGCATTTGGTGACTGTACAACTCTTGTTACAGGATGTGTAGGGGCAGGATTAAAGGCAGGAAAAGGGGGAGTGGTTAAATTGAGGAAGCAGCAGGGAAAAACGGGGGGAAAAGGACACAGAAGGGGCTGGCTGTACACACACAGTACACTTGTCTGGCCATGCCCTGTGTGTCATCAGCACAGTCTGTGCTGTGTTCTTACTGAACTCTTTCCTCTCCCCTGTGTGAAGGGACTCTGTTCAGTGCACGTGGAAATCTAAGTGCCAGCAACTGGAAATACCTGAGGTGCATGCCTGTTGTGTGGGTGTTTATGTCCATGTGTAATCAGCAGCAAAAAGCGAGTCAGAGTAGCTGGTGAGTGAGTGAGTAGGGTAAGTAAGAGACTGGGGAGCCTTGATTTGGCATGGCTGCAAGTCTGGCCAGATGCTGGAGAGACCAGTCTGAGCATCAGCTGTTTGAGGTCCCAGCAGGTCCAAGCCAGCTGCTCTCGGGTCTGGAGGTCAGCTACTGGTAAGCCTGGACCAGCTCCCAGAGCACAGTTTGCATCTGTTTGTGTGTGTGCACTTGAGGGGTCCGAGTGCTCGCCACTGGAGTGGAGCTGCAGGCCTGGAGGACTTGGGTGTCCTAGTGCCAGCAACTGAGGAGAGCAGCTCAGGCTCCAGATTGTGGAGCCAGCTACTGGATAGGCACTAGTGGGATCCATAGTGCATATACATGTATTTCCTGCTAACAGGTTCATCCTGATCAGGCAGAGAAGGCAATAGGATCAGGCTGTTTGTGCTGTGCTTGCATGACTGCTGTGTTTTCTGCCTCCGGCCAGTCATGTACAGTGTGTATGTTTATATATACATGCACATATTATATACATGAATATTTTGTGTGCATGAGTGCCTATTGAGAGTACATTCTCAGGTTTGCTACTGTCTGTACCTGAGGACATGGTACTGAGCAGCCTCCTCTCTAGGAGGCCAGCTGATTCAGCAGCTCCTAATGGTTGAAGGTGGAAGGGAGATCCCTGCTCAGAGCAGGGTCAGTCAGAGCTGGCTGCTCAGGAATGTACCCCATCAGTTTTTAATACCTCGAAGGAGAACTCCACAACCTCCCTGGGTAACCTGTTCCTGTGTTCAACAGCTCTCACAGTAAGTTGTTTGGTTTTTTTCTTTCCTTCAAATGGAATTTGCTCTGTTTTGATGTGTTTCCACTGCTTTTCCTTTCAGTGGATACCGTCGGGTGGACTCTGGCTCCCTCTTCTTCACTCCCTCCTATCAGGTATTTATATACCATTATAAGAGACACCTAAATTTCTCATCTCAAGGTTGAACAGTCCCAGCTGTCTCAGCTTCACCTCATGTGTCAGATGCTCTAATCCCTCCAAAATTGTAGTGACCTTTGGCTGGACTTGCTCCAGTAAGTCCATGTCGTTTGTACTGGGGAACCCAAACTTGGACAAAACACTCTGGATATCTGGATGTCTGACCAATCTTGAATAGTGCTTAAAAATCACCTCCCTCCAGCTACTGCATTTGCTAATGCAGCACAGATATTGTTTGCCTCTTTTGCTACAAGGCCATATTACTGGCTCAGATGTAACTTGCTATTCAGGATGACCTGCAAGTCCTTTGTTGCAAAGTTGCTTTTTAGCCAGCCAGTCCCCAGCAGGTACTGGGTGCATGGGGCTATTCCTTCCCAGTTGCAGGGCTCTTCATTTCCCTTTGTTCAGCTTTGTGAGTAACCTCTGTTCCCCCTTCTCCCATCTATTAAGGTCCCTCTGAATGACAGCACAAGTATCTGATCTATCAGCCACTCTCTGTTTTCTATCATCTGCATGGATAGGCTAACACACATGCCCGACACAGACTCATAATCTTGTGTCAGCCTCATCGGGGCTTATCTTCTAGCCTGGATATCTGCATGTAGCAACTTTATTTATTATCTATACTTCGTGTTAAAAACATCTGTTACTAAGACTGAACTTACTGATACAAGACTCACAGTAGGACCTTATCTTGTCAGCTGTATCTCTTACTGTAGTTGCAGTGACTTGAGTATCTAAAGTATCTGTATCCTATGGTTCCATGTGTATACTCTGCTGCTTCTCATGTTGAATAGAAACCAGCCTTCTTGCTTTAAGTTGCAGTTCTTTAGATCTCTGCTTTTTAATTCTTCTGTCATTTCTGGTTAAGCAAGACCTTCCCATGAGCAGGACTTTTAATTTATAGCCTTAAGAATTTGCAGCATTATACAATTATGGAAACCTGACGGCTATCTGCAGCAGTAACAGCTGAATGGCTAGCACTCACCTTCACCAACTTAGACTTAGCTCAAGCACTGAAATCTGAATCTTGAGGTGACTACTTTCCCTAAGTAGGAGAAAGTTATAGGAACATCAGTGAGAGATTCTCCTCCCCCCTGCCCAGACAGTCTGTTCTGCAGAAGTCACTTGTATTTCATCACACTACAGCAGTAGCTTCTGATACTTCTCATGGTTTCAGAATAAACACAGGATCCTTCAATCCTAATGCAGCCACATTGCCACATTGAGTCTGCAGTTAAATGGACAAAGACCATTGGTTCAAACAGCTGAACATGGATGTAAGGACCCTGCTGGAACTTACAATATATACACTAAAGTAAAGGTTCCAATCATGTTTGAAATAAGCCAGAGAACTCCAGCAGGGCCTGCTCTGCCACAGGTTTATTTACAAAATATTATTTACAGTCTATAAGTGTCTTGAGCTCTGATAAATAATAACATTTCCTCCACATAGAAGGAATAAGACAGACCACCTACACAGTTTTCTGTTACAGATACCCTACCCAGCCAAACAAGCCTATTCCCTTTTAAAAAGGGGAAGAGAAAAACGAGTACCTAGAGGATTTTATGTCTGTGGCACAAGTAAAATTATGAAGCGGGTTGAGAAGATTGAAATCTTCCTCCCTGAAGTGTGCATGTGCAAAACAGCAACATGCTGAGGTTATGTGATCACGCAAGTTAGAGCTGCTACTCCCAACTTCTCCTCAAAAGAAAGAAGTACACCAGGAGTTGGTGTTTAAGGCAAGAATGGTTGAATTAAAAAAATATAACTCTTAACCAGCAGCCTTATGAAAGACTGAATAGTTTCTTCCTGTTGTGAAATAAAGAAGAGAGAAGGCT